AGATGCTTGCATCTTTCTGTGCAGTCGAGGTTATGGCTCAATCCGATCAGTCGCCGGATGAAGCCTCTTTGTACATTTCCTACTCGCATTTTGTCCATGATATTCATGTTTGACAAGATAATTGAACAATGTAGAATCTTTTTTGAATGTTTTGTTTTTTGGAAAATCCCTCCATGTTTACATATTTTTGTTATGACATGACGGACTTTTTCTGTTGATATTTTGGTATTTTATTTGATTCCAATTTGAGATTTTATCATTGTATATTGTTATTATTTCTATATTTTGTACTTATATTGAAGTTTTTATGTTTGCTTCTGAACTGTATATATGTTGTTTAAATTTGATCTTTAATATGGCTACAGCCATATTTGGATTGATACTGTGGCGGTTGGATCTAACATCACTTATTCCTTTTAAAATTGGATACTCCTGAGAGTAGTTGGGACTTGGAAAGTGCATCAGAATTCAGGTATTGATTTGTATTTCCATTTTTTAATATAATATAGACCGCTTTCTCCTAGAATTATTGTGTTTTTGACATTGGGTTGGGAGATAGCGCGTTCGATTTGCACTTACTGGAAACAATTTGAACTGCTACGGTAGAAAATCCATCTACAAACAATGTTCAAGTGAGGGCCTTATACGCATCTTGAAGAGTGTAAGCCTAGCCTCATTTGTCAAGAAGTTCTTATTTATAAACCCAATTAGTCGTCTGAATTTATAGATAATGGTTTAGGCATGTTCTTCGAATTTTAGGCTTTTAGAGTAACTAATACCCAGGTCACGCGCTGATATCAGTGTCTAAACCCTACATTTTTGTAAGTAGACTGGTGTATCATGGTGACGCTTACTAAAATGCACTATGCCACATTTGTTGTGGTTAAATGTTAGTTGCCATGTCTCGCTCCAGGTAGTTAAGTTATCAAGATCACTCTGAATCCTCGCTATATTTTCGTCCAGATCTTCAGGCTTAAAGCTGTATACTATTTTCAGATCATCAGCATATAAATATGCTCTTTAAAATTTTATAGTAATACATATGTCATTTATGTACATCAGAAACAAGAGTGGACCTAAGACACCTCCCTGGATAACCCCACTGGTTATTGGTCTTGGTGTTGAAAGACAGTCGTTGTACTTAACCATTTGTTGTCGCCCATTTAGGAATGAAGCAAACCATGAATTTAGTGGGTTAATGATTCCGAATGACTTTGGTTAAACTAGAAGCCTTTTGTGTGGGACTTTATCAAAAGCACTTTTAAAATCGAAGAAAAGGACTGATACTAGAACCCATTTGTCTTGTTTATGCGTGATATCGTTGAAATAATCTAACAGACATGTATCACACGACCTGGACCTCAAGAACCCATGCTGTGAGGTCGATATCAGATTGTGACTAAGTAGATGTTGTATTACTCTGCCCAAACTACTTTCTGCACAACCCTAGATACTGCTGAAGTTATGTTTATAGGTCGGTAATTTTCAGCGTTCGCTGTAGGCCCAGATTTAATTGTGGGGATGATATGTGTAGTCTTCCAGTTATTAGGGTAACACTCTGTGTAGAGTGAACAGGGTTACATCTTGCAGTTTACTTTGACGGTTAGGTAGAACAATTTCACTTTTGGCTAAGAGCTAATCACCGTGAACTGAGGATTTCCCCTAGGTACCAGCTCTGTTGCAATCTTCTGTGATAATTTTACTGGCCTTTCCTAAACAATCTTACTCTCTGCTTATCACCGTTTCGTCTTCGATGCCTTTCATGGACTGACCCACCCAGGTATCGCAACCACGTCACGTTTCATCGCTATATGATACTCCTGGTCGTCCACGAATGAAGATGTCCGTATATGGGTAAGGCGATGCTTATAACTTCAACGATCGAAAGTGTACAGGCAAGTAGCTGCCCCAACTGGCATGTTTGCTACACCTGATGCTCGCTTCGATCACGTTCATATAGACAATATGGGACTATAGTCACCATCGCATAGGTATGATTACATGATTACATGCATCGACCGTTTCACAAGATGGCCTAAGCTGCTTCCACCACGTCTGTTACGTAGGAGACAGTCTCTCACCGCCTCGTAGAAAGGCAGATAGTTGTTGTTGTTCCTTCATTGTCAAGACTGACCGAGAACAGCAATTCTAGTCCAAATTATTCTTCTCGCTGATCCGACTGCTTCGTATGGGATGAGTACACACCACCACCTACCACCCAGGTTCTAATGAGTTAACTGATCTGTTTCATCGCCAACTTAAAAGTGCTCTTCAAGCACGCGTAAACAACAATTGGTACGAAACATTACCGCTCGTCCTCTTAGGTATCAGAACGAGCTTAAAGGCAGATATTCAGTGTTCCGCAGCTGAACTTGTATACGACACGACAATGAGTCTGCCTGGGGAATTTTTCACACCTTTTCTTGTGATTCCTCGTCACGAAAAAACCTTCAAGGTTGATAGACATGGCGGCGTCGAAATAGTCAGCATTAATCGTCTCAAGCCAGCACACGTTGACGATTGCGCCCTACACGATAAATCGCAGTTTAATGTTAGACCCATCAAACTCGCTGGCGGGATCCCTCCATCTACTTCGGACCCCCAGATCGTGCCATCTAAACTGTCTACGCATGAGACGTCAGTCTGAAGTCCAGGTCAGCAGACCATGACAGCCTTGACTTCGGATCAGGTTACAGTCTCAAGCACTCACCCACGAGGTATTACTAGCGTCTCACTTTCCGGTACGTCTACCTGCGTGCTTTCGCGACTAGTTGCAATAAGCAACGTATAACGTTACGGATTATGACTCTTAATACATATATGCCACGCGTTTCTCCTTTTCTTTGACTTTTTTTATACTGAGCTCACTCCTCTGACCATCGCCCACCCTTCTGATACCATCGACTTCATTTGATCTTGGCGAAAGCCGGCCTGGTCACCCATGCACTTCTCAATGTACTCAGTCGATGATATGGTACCAAATATGTCTGGAATATGTATAGTATGGCTTTTATGATCGCTTCCGAGAAGCAAATATGGTGCTTTACTGCTGAAACTGTTTTACGCAAAAGACCTTCAGTGAAAGCTCCAGGATCAACAACTGCTTCCTAAAGTCACACGTTTTGCCGATCAGTCTCACGAATGGAACCTCTACATATCGTGAGTTTGAACCTTTTCTAGCTAGGAGCTACTGTAGTGACTCCACTTTTATAAAGAGAACGAGATAGAATCATTTTTTATTATAGCCAATTGTACCAGTGATTTTTTCACTGTACTGTTTGCTTACATATACTGGGAACATAGTTTCCTCTCGTACGGCCTTCACCTCTCTCGTTGTACTCACGGTAGTCTCGCCTGTAACCTTCGGTACGATCTCTGTATTATTTCGATACTAAGAAATCGCCAACAAATATACATTGATTCTTTCTTCTTGGCTTTGATTTTACGGAGGGGTTTTACTTGGTAATTGGAACGTAGTTGACCTTTAGTGGTGATTATATTTAACTCTGAACCAAGCTACTTAACATGAACCAGGCTTCATCAGTTTAAAGTTAAATTTTTCTTGTTCTCTTTCTCTAACAGAAATGAAGGAAGAATAATTTTCAGTTATGAACTCTGAACATGACATAAACACTGTCATTGAGGAGATATGGAAAATACTAACTAGGCTTAAGCACTTTGAAATGTATCTTTCATAACCACTAATCGATTTATGTGCGAAATTTCCTATATTCTCCCTATTGTGGCAACTAAATTATACATGGGATAGACATCGATTATTCAGTAATCAGTCATTGACACTGATTTTAAAATCAAAATAAAGGCTATAAAAATTTCATTTGATTGACATCGATTTTTAATGTTAAATCCTTACATTCCAGGAACAAACAATGTTCGGAATCGGAAATTTTAATGAATACCTCATCTACAAAATAGTAGGCGTGACGTTTACAGTGTTGAAAGTATTCTTGAGCAGACATTAGCATGTTTAGTGGCGAATAAGTCCCTCAAAATGAGCTCTGCAAGTATTCAACACTTGTCCTGGCCATAATGCTTTTTTAGGCATACTGTTTTGTTTGGCGAATGTACTGAATAATCTATGGATGCTCGAACTTGTGCATCCCCACAGATTTGCTTTGAAGAACTAGACAAGAATGATCTAACTTGTGAGGTAAAATTTACGAAATTTCCAATACTTTCGAATGCTGTATACGGATTAAAATAATCCTCCTCAAAAATTCCAACACAGGTCCAGAAATTGTGGGCCCCGAAGATTTAACTTCCCGACGTAGGACAACTGGATGATATGTGAGGACTAAAATATTTCAGTTTTTGCGATGTTTTTGCATTTTGAACGATATTACATCACGACTTATGATCTTGAGAAGGGGTTCCACTATCCTGATAAGTCTGTTGAATGAACACAAGATCTGAATTCATATCTGTTCATAATAATTGAAGACTGAATCTAAACTACAACTTGAACACCTGGTTATACCTTGAAACTTTCTATTCGTTATTATTACCATCTCCTCATATTATTAACTCAGTCTATCTCGCATATTATATCTGTTTCCCCTTCCTTGTTTACGCTTACACTTCGGCCCTCTCACACAATCTTCACTACCAATTAATAAACTAAATTACCTATTTATTTACTGAGTTCTGAAATCTTCTTCTTATCAGCATTAGAATTCTCTGACTGTTATTCTCCAAATTACAACAAACTGATCTCCGGCCAGGTAATGTGATAGCTGCTTGTATCGAGAAACCCTACTACTCTGAAACACATATTCATTCAAATCACAGGACATACAAACTCACAAACAACTGCCAACTGACTAGAGTGGCTAGACCTTAATTCAGCGGACAATACCAAGTGACTGGAACTGTACAGAAAGCACAAGAGACGAGCGCATAGAAATCAATTACTAGCTTGTGAAAAAGATATTGGATATTGAAAAAGCGCAAAGTACGAGAAAACACCTCAAGGTTAGTTTGTGTTCACCATGTTCACGCATGACCTTGGACTTCGAAAATGTTCGGGAGTCATGCTAAACATAGTAGTGGCATGGATAAACATATAATCAGTACAATGGTACGTGGTGCTGCATTTTTCAGATATCACCATTACGGGTCTGTTTAATACTGATTGGATGAAATGTTAAGCGTAGTTTTTGGGCCACTTCCAACTTTTATGAGCAGTATTTCGGGGCCTAACTTATCCAGAGAAATGAATGCGCCGCACCATGTTCAGCAAGGTGCACATAGTTTGGATGGCCTTCATATCAGTATTTCCATAAGTAATTTACATATATATATATATTTATCGTATTTGGGAGTACTGACTGCTTCTTATAGTTTTGGTTTGTATGATCGAAAGCTTGAACGCATATGTCTCTGATAATTTAAGTAACGTCTCATATTTTTGTGTGTATATCTATTTATTTGATTATGACTGATAGTCATTTTATTTCTTAATGAAATAAATTCTTCCTCTTTTTGATATTAATATTTTTGTGCCAGAGAAACAACTTTAGCTGATGTCTTGTACCTTATCTATTATCATAATCGGCATCATGCTCTACCAAAATTTTTGTCTGTTTTTCCGCTTTATCTAAGTTTACTTGTCATTCCTGCACTACTATTTGTCCATATTATTTGCTTAGTTAATTCACCTAATCTTTCTAGCCATCGTCTCGTTTTAAGACTTCAGTATACGGTCCACGGATTTCCCTTTCCATAAAGACAATCACCTATCTGGCAATATTACAACTGTTTGTTTCCGAAACCTTAGCACTTTTAGATAAATGCATTTACTCGAATTTCAAGAGAGATAAACTCATTCTTCATCAAGGCAATCTCAGTCAAATTACAAAACTGGGAACATGAAAGAATTACAGGTAAAGATATCAGAAAAATCACATAGTTCGCACCGGCTTATCATGGAATTGTGTACTAAACATTGTACTTAGAAAGGCTTAAAGCGGGCGTTTCTAGGTTTACTTAAACATTCTCAAAAATACAGACAATGGTAAGCCAGGCGATCAAATTCGTGAGAACTGCTCCCGACTTACTGCATGAAAATAAAAAGGGAGTGACTTCCACTTTTCATCAAATTGAATGGACAATAAGACTGCCAATATTTAGTTCTGGTGATGCTCCAAAAAGTTTTGCTATACAGTCGTGAGATGCTAAACATTCCGACGGTAAAACTACAATTCTTCGATGAAACGAAAAAATTTGTTCATTCCCACGTATTAAGTGTAGTTACACTTATGATGTTTCCCTAAGATTCGCTGTTCCTGTCCAAAACGCCGTGAATGATGACGGCTTTGCATTAGTTTTCAATTATTGACATATAAATAGTATCACTGAAGGCAAATAATCAGGCCTCGTAGGGCTGATTATATTCGAAAATAGAGTTTGCTTAACTTTGGACACTACCAGATACCTAGAACCGTACTGAAGAAACAAGAATCGAGCGCAAAGAAATCGACTGGTTTATACTGGCTCGTGAAAAAGATGTTGAATATAGATATTGGATATTGCAATTAGTATTTTGGTGTTACAGGTGTTCGGTTCTTGATGTAAACCCTAACTCTTATCACTGACTCCAACTTCCAACTCTCAATTATAATTTCCAATCTGTTATATTAATTTATAACCCATTTCTGATCTCAGTATGTTAGTCTATGGTAGATTTTCTCAAAGTTCATCGTTCCTCAATGGTCGACCATGTATTATAGTCTAGCCGTTTTTTGGTTTTCCTAACATTTTCCTAAAAGTTTTAGGGATCTCAAACTACAAAAAAAGTAATGGTCTTTAGTCACACTAAAGTTTTTTTAAAGAGTTTCAAAATTGATAAAACTTTTCCTAATAAAAGATATTGGGAGGTTAAAATTGCTGTTTACTTTCTTCGTTTCCAAGTATGATGTTCCTTTCTTTTGGTGTTAGGTAAGGGACAGGTTCTGCATGCTTATTTAATGCTATTTATCCTACCACCTTCCCTACCTGTTATAAACATATGTCTTATGATATGTCTTATTAGTTGCTTGTGTTTTTTAATATAATAATACATCTTAATAATTATTTATTTGAATACATGTTGGTACGAAAACGCAAGAAAATAAATATGCGTCACAAATAAGAAGATAAGATTGTAAAGCAGTGCATAAAGTAAAGTGTAGTAAAAATAAGTGGATGAGAGTAGTATAAAATGGGAGGAGTGGTTTAGGCAGTCAAGTACAGTCAACATGAGATCTTTCACCCTAGAAAACTCGTTTTGGGATGACGTTCGTGCTTCCAGATGGAGACTACTTGAGTAGTTATCTTCACTGTGCCCAAGCACATAACCAAATTTTTTTTATTAGCTTGATATTATCACTGAATGTTAGTAATCCTCCGGGGACAACGGTGATGAAAGACAGAGGGTCGCCTGACACTTTCAACCCAGAGGGACCAGTATTCACAAGCATATAGCAAAGTCACTCTCATGGGTGCGTTGTAAACCCTACCTTTTACATCTAGATTAATACAGCGATAGCACCAAAAATAGTCCAGACTAGCACATTTCACTCTGGCTTTTACCATACATAGATTAGTTTCATCGATCACACAGTTACCCAGATACCTACGAACTTTGATAACCAACTGACTAAGTGCGGATTAAATAGTGTGATAATCGGGAGTAATTGTATTCCGTATACCAACTAGTAACACCCAGAAATGTCCGATTCGTATTCTAGTAGTCACGTATGGACTAGTACTGAATTCAGGCAAAACTATGTAAACACAAAGGAAAACATTTTATTTCGAATTAAGCGCAAAACAATGATGCATATGACCATCATAAATGGCTTGGGCGTCATCACTCCATAAGAAAATATTATTCACGTATTTAAAATCGAAAAATCTTTCTCCATGTACATATCAATACCACCACTGCTTAAATTCACTGACTTCAAAGCTGGAGGAAAAACTTAATATTGAGCAACTCTGCCTAACCCGTTACAGATCGAATAGAGCGATAACGTGAGGTGGTTGTATGCACTCATTCTACCTGAGGTGTTTGATAGCCTTCTATATGTTAGTAAACTTCTCAGTAGCCCTCTTCTTCAAGAGATAATCAAGGAGTACAGTTCCGTCCAACAAGTCAAAGGCGGATTTGTTATCAAAAATGAATCGTTGTTAGCCTACAATAATTACTACGGTGCTCGAAACTTTGTGGAGGGTATAAATATGGTCAATACGCTTTCCAACTGAAACAGATGACAGCTTGCTGGTAGCAAGTCAGTCATATGGATTTTAAAGAATTTGCGGAGTACAATGGAAGCCAATAGTTTGAATGCGATGAAAAGTAGACATGATTCCTAATAGTTGTAGCATGGTTGATGTAAACCTCTATTAAAGATGTGGAAGTTGCTCTCTTTTCTCCCGACCTTAGCTGCTACCTTGACGTGGTGGTCGGGCTTGCCTATCATGATGACCCGACCGAGCTATATTGGCTGGAACATATGTTCCTGAAGGTTCTACCATGCCAGGCAGGTCGATTGGAGAACGATGAGACTAAAAGCAGCTACTCAAGGTCTGAGGGCTTAGTCGTACTGCTGACTGCAGAGGGGTGTGACAGCAGTAAGGTGTTTCCCTCGGACAACCAGCATCTGCAGCGATGCTGCCTTCTCACAAGGAAGGAAGGGTTAGGAAAGGTCGACCCTAAAAATGTCACACCTCACCCTACCTCACGGATTTCCGTCTCCTTGGGTAAGGGTGCCCACTAAGGGCTTTCAAGAGCGGAGCTAATACTCAAAAAACCTTTCATAAAAAGGCCGTGTGTGACTGGCCTCAAGCAGTTATCCCTTTGGCTCTGCGGTCACGCTCCCAGGTCGTTAAGACCAAAGCTAATCCACTTTCTTTTTCAGGTTCCTCAAGAAACACTTCCAAAGTGTGGGCAACCAGGAAGTGACAACCGCCCTCATACCCGTAACAGCACAAGAGACCAAATTGGTCGAAATCAAATCCTTCCTATACCCCTCAATATCTCTCTTATCTCCCCGACTAACTCTTTTCACATTCATTTATCACAGTGCACAGCTAATGCAAACGATGGGAGTTCACGAAACGTCATTTCTGGTCTCCTCAAACCCCGTTCTAGACTACATGTTGTAGCATTTAATGTACGGACATTGTGTCGAATAGGGCAACAGGCTTCGTCAGCTAGGAAATTAGAATCTCGCGCCATCTCTGTATGCTGCGTCTCGGAAACGCACGTACAGGATCCGAGTAGCATCATTCACTTGACCTCACCATTTCAAGATAAAGAAGCAACTCGATTTACCCTTCGTGTATCCAGTAGCCCTGGTGCTGCTTCCCAGGGTCTTGCTGGTGTAGGTATAGCATTGAGTCGTAGGGCAGAACTAGCTCTCATAGACTGGATCCCAGTAGATAGTCGCTTGTGCGCTGTGCCCCCACTGACTGCAGTTCAGACAAGGTGAAAGATCAGTTTTACGGAAAGCTTTCGGACCTCCTCCAAAACGCTAGGCGCTCTGATATAGTAATAATAGCTGGTGACTTTAATGCTCAAGTAGGTAGACTAAGTGAAAACGAAAGACACCTAGGTGGATGTTATGGAGAGAACAGACAATGGTGACCGTCTGTTGCAAGTATGCTCAGATAACCACCTATTTCTAGCAGACACTAACTTTAGGCATAAGGAAAAACATCTGGCAACCCCCAAAGTTGTCTCAACGTTGGACCCAGCTAGATCACATTGTCATCAGGCACCAATGAAGGGGTTCGATAGAGGACTGTCGCTCGTTCTGGAGTACATGTTTAGATTTAGATGATGCCCTAGTGTGAGCGCGTATTTGTTTGCGTCTTACTGGACGTAGGAAAGACACCGTAAGGAAGCCTCTTAGTGTTTTACCTAATGATAATCAAGCTAAGAAAATATTTCAGGAGGAACAGTTAGGCGACCATGCAAGTGATTCCCATCCGGAAGCAGTTTGGGATGATATCAAAAAGTCTGTGGAAACAGCAGTGATATCTTCTAGTAAGGTAAACCATAAGGCTAGGATGAAGCTGTGGATCTCTGTAGCATCCACCGATCTGATGGATGCCCGAAAACTCATCTCACCTGGCTCTGAACATGATGAAGAACATAGTCAGCTTAAGCGCAGGCTGATAAAAAGCCTACGCAATGACCGTGAACAGTGGTTGGTAGCGAAAGCAAAAGCGATGGAAAAGGCAGCGGCGATAGGCAACAGTAGACAACTTTTCCGACTTATCAAAGAAACAGGTATTAGGAACCCGAATGTGAGTGAGACTATCTCGGAAAAGGATGGTCTTATTATACATCCTCAATCCAGGAGGCTGGACCGATGGGCAGAACACTTCAGGGATCAGTCCAACTGGCCTCTAGCCACACTTCGGTTACCGAAGATCCCCAGTCATTCTGAATGGCAAATCCTCCTCCTAGTCTACATGAAGTTGAGAAAGCGTTAGGAAGTCTGAAGCGAGGGCGAGCTGCAGGTCCTGATAGACTGACCCCTGAGAAATTTAAGGATGGTGGTGCAGTTTTAGCAGCTAGGTTGACCGAGATCTTAGGTAGAATCTGGGAACGACGTAATCCCATCCGACTGGTCTCAATCACTGATTGTCCCAATCTATAAGAAAGGACAAAAGTCTTCTTGTGACAATCACAGGTGAATCAGTCTAACTAATATAATATCTAAAATATTGCATTCAATAATACTTCGACGCTTAACGAAAGCTCGTGAAGAGCAGACTAGAGAAAAGCAGGCTGGTTTTCGACCTGGACGCGGTTGTATAGACCACATCTTTACACTACGACAGGTCCTGGAACACAGACACACATTTAGGTGTCTGACAATAGTTGTCTTCCTGGACCTGAACGCGGCATTTGACTCAGTGGATCGTGAGGTTCTGTGGCAGTGTTTGTCATTGAAAGGTGTACCAAAAAAGTACATTAATCTTATACAGGCTCTCTACTCGAAGACTACAGGTCGAGTGAGAGCTTATGGCGAACTGTCATTGGAATCGTTTGCTTCAATTGGTGTCCGTCAGGGATGTCCACTGTCTCCATTCTTGCTTAATTCTATCATAGACATGCTGCTAGATATAACCTTATCCTCGTTTGAATTTTCTGGAGTAGACCTTTTACCAGGAGGCTCACTTATTGACTTAGAATATGCCGATGACATAGTCCTACTTGGTGAAGATGCTGACAAAATGCAGTCTTCTGACCACCCTAAGCAACAATGCAAGCATGTTGTGGATGCGGTTTTTCCCCGTCGAAATGCAAAATGTTGCTCCAAGATTGTGTAGTGCCTCCACATAAACTTGAGTTCGCTCATATTTAATTTGATTACGCCTTTCGATTAACTTATGTAACCAAGCTATTTGTATAGCATCAACCCATATGTACCATTGGTATTTTTTATTGTCTGGTTTGTTTGAGCTTGTACGACTGAGCATTACTTACGCCTACGCGCTGACTCATCCTTCTCGCTTTAATGTTAAGCTCTTAATACCCCTATGAACTCACATGACTTGTCTCGCTTACCTTTGACCTTGTCAATCATTCGGCGCTTTTATTCATGTCTGTGCATGCCTATTTCGCGTGTCATATGTCTGTCTTATTTTTGTCTGACTATGTATTCCTAGTCATGCTCTGTGTCTTTGAGTTGGCTCTTAGCCTTCTCTAATTCGCTTCGCCCATTCGTTCGCATTATAACCCATGGAGTTGGCTCAAAAGCCTTCTCCAGTTCATGTCGCTTCATTCGTTTTATTCACTGCTTCTCCGCTTCGCTTTGTGGTGTGTCTCGAATAAACGTATTCATCACTACGAATTCATCTTCTGATTTATAAAACATCAGACTCTATTTGGCAACGATTGTCTGAACGAGTTAATTACCGAGCTTAAGAACACGCAGTAATTCGACACACTACAATTGGGTTTCATCGGCACCTGAACTAGTGATAGCGAGTGAATTAGTCGAACGTGTAGACCGCTTCATTTTTCTGGGGAGTCTCATCAATGCTGATGGCTTGGTAACTGACGAAATCTCAGCACGGATACAGAAGCTCGATTGATTTGTGCCAACCTGCGTCACTTATGGCGTAGGCGAGATATCCGTTTGCTGACCGAAGGACGAGTGTACTTCGCTACAGTTCGCTCTGTCGTTATATGTGGATGCGAAACATGGTCGTTAAGAGTAGGGGATATTCATAGGTTATTAGTATTCGTTTATAGATGTCTTCGTAACATTGCTCGTTTATCATGGGACAACCGAGTAAGCAATGCTGTCGTTAGGAAACGGGTTCTAGGTAAGGGTGGCAGATCAGTGGATGAAGTAATGAAACTTCATCTGTTGAGGCGGTTGGGATATGTGCTACGAATGCCTAACCACCGACTGCCTTGTCGAGTTATGTTCTGCGATGTAGGAATAGGTTGAACGAAAGCTAGTGGCGGCCAGACATGGCAGAAATCCATGAAGTCACTGACAAGAGAACTGGGTCACATTGGTAGATGTGGACTACCTAGTTGGGGTCCGCGAGATGATAATAATCGATGGTTAGAGACCCTGAATGACATTGCTCAAAACCGTTTGTATTGGCGCCGGTGCATTTGTTCTTTGTGTTCTCTCGAACCCTAATCTTCTGGATTCTCCAACACTTCTAGTTTTGTCTTTCTAAACTTATCTCACTGAAACATACTTCTTGAATAATATCTTCTAATCCTAGCCTCCGATTTCTTCTAATACCTTTACTACCTCTACTACTATTGGATTTGAATTGACAATTACATCTCTGTGCTGATGTAGTATGGCAACATAAACTGATGTACTTACGTACGAAGTTCTACGTTGCATCTAACTGACTGACTGACTCTTTTTTCTAGGATATTGCAACATTGGCTAAATTCCAAGCTTTCCAAAACAACCTCATCACTTCCTTAACCAAAGTTTTACTACCCTCTCTAGAAATAGCTTTGGATAAATCGTCTGAATCTGGTAATTTATAGCGCTTCAAGAGTTAGAATTTCTTGCCAACCTTTTCATTGTATGGATCAGTCGTTATCGGCTATAAAGGATAAGACTGTCTAATCAATGTTACTAGAGCAGAAAACCATATAATACATGAATTAAGTCAAACATGTGCATCTCCAACTTCAATACAATATACAAAACTACTAACATCCTCTTCTTTTTTGCCCCACTAATTAGAGTAAAAATCCAGTTTTTGTATAGAAGCTTTCTTGATGATGACCCCACCATAATTAAAAATATATTTAAATTAATGTTATATATCGATTACAATGAATTAAGTTTAGAAACTGAGCATTTGTTATTGAAAACTATTCATAGGAAAAAATACGTTAGAAGTCGATTAACAGAATTCACATCGAATTTATTGATGCTATGAAAATATGTTAGAGGTTGGACTTTAATTCATTTTAAATTGTTACTAATTTTTTTCCTCATAAATTGTATTTGGGGATTCTTCAACCTCATCAGCTATCTATCTGTTTAAGGACTCTGCCTGTCGTCCGAAATATCAGTGGATGTTATTAATCGTGTTCCATCTGCTTTCACATTTTATTTCCCTCACACTAGACTTCTTAATGCCAGCGGCTCGAATGAATCAAAGAAGTTTTTGGCAGTCTCCAGATTCAACTTTTGCTTACAGTTCATTAGCACTCTGCGACCACAGTGTTCCTCTTTGCACAATTTCCGTACGTAAGTATCTACGTTTGTCGTCAAACTCGAGGTTTAACCAAAGTAGACTAACCTGGCAGGTGGTTGTAAAAAGCCTTGGAAAATCCAGTGCTTAGAGACAAAACATCTTGCAAAGCCGCAAGTGATTTTACTCACCATCCTCATAGTGTCATGCAAATTCAGCTGGTGCGTATCCATAATTTTTTATGGATCGATAGCTAGTCTTGAACTCAGTTCGGTTTGATATTTGGTTATGACTGAAGTTTCAATCAATTTTCTTGCATTAATCCGTGTAAGACGATAGATTTGTTGGCCACTAAAACATGAAATAAGATTGGAGCAAACCATGTCATGGTCAAAGCCCATCTAAGTCTTGTACACAACCAAGTCAGCGCTAGCTGATCGCGATGTAATCAATCTGAATCTAGATTTGAGAATCAAGGGAGGAACGCCAGGTAGCATATTGGCAGTGACTGTGCTGATAGTTAGTGCTAACCCTTAAAGAGGTCGTAGTGTATACAAAGTTGCAGTTGATGGCCACTTCCATCTGACGTGCGACCATCAAGTCCTCATTAACCGCTAAAATCACTCTCTTTTGTGCCTTAACACCTAATTTGGGTATTCAAATTTGCGAATAGCACTTCAGTATCTGTCAAACACGTTTTCCTGTGAAGACATGAAGCAAAAAACTAACCAATCACTACATCATAAGTGTTGAATATTTCGTTATGTTTTTTAACTTCTTGATCCATATTGTTGTTTATCTCAACTATTGATCTGAGTCGCGTAGATAGATGCAAACTACCTGTTTGGAGTCTGCGTTATACTCCGATCAGTGGTTATAGACATTGTGTGACAGTTGAAAATCGGTCATAGTAGTACAAATATATTCACTTTTCATTTTCCTCTCAACCTTGAGTTTCAGTAACCCTCAACATATACCTTTCGTTTCGTCGTCTTAATGCTTAATATTCTTTTTTATCATCATGGGTGTTACGTTTACTTCAATCTCTTGCAGTTCATCTTGTTGATTTCATCTCTTGGTGTCAACGTGATATGGCAACTTGGATCAATGCACATCTGAGTCTGGCTCAACATTGATAATGATTGACTGAAATAAATTGTCAAAATAAACAGAATTTTCAAAACTTATTGTTCTTATAGTATTTTGCATTTAATTTGTTATATAACACTTGCATATGTGTATAGTTATTGTTTTCACTTTGTATTTTAGCGTAGAACTACTGTCTGTTAATAAAAGTGGAATGTAATAATGGTAAGAAGGGAAAATTACAAATCCTCATTCATCTAACAATCATTTTATTCCTCTCAATTCAAATTCTATAATTAATGTCTTCCAATCAAGTTTTAATCAATAAATCCAAAGAAATCATTGAAGCATCAAAGCTTAAACTTCATGAAGCTGAGATTTCAGATTCTTTGTGGAATGAACAAATTCAAATGTATATTAATACTTGTGTATACATTAAAAATACTCTAAATAGTGAACAGTTAATTCATGACAATCAATCACTTTCAGCACATATTTTTGTATTTTTAGGTGGTATTCTTGGTAATTTTTACACAACTTCGAAACTCCATTGTAATAATCAACTTATTTTGCTTACTAAAGATATTTTCAACATATATTTAAAAATATTTAATGTAAAAACAATTAGACAGCTATTATTGATCAAAGTTAATCCATTGTCAAAATTCAATTCTTCGCCTATTTTAGCGTCGGAAATTTTAAAATTATCACTTATTTATTTAACGAAAAATTGTGAGAAACCAATTAGTAATGATGATGAGAATTCTTCTTTAACTCATTATCCATTGATACGTGATACAATTGTATGGTTAACTATGGAACTTGATTATCCTGAAATTGCTGAACATGAATTTATTTCTGTTTTACAACCATTTGGTTTAAGACTAACAGAGGATTATCGTTCATCTATACAACTAGCTGGTCTTAATGTTTTACATAATTTAGCAAATAAAGCTAGAATTGCTGATTGGCGTCAAAGTAATCGAGCTGAAGCAGTTATTTCACAATTATTAAATCATAGAATTGCTTGTGATTCAAATTCACCGGAAATTTTACTCCATGAACTTTATTCAACTTTACTAGTTTTAACTAGTTTATTAAGTAATACAAATTCAGTTCATTGGTATGAAAAAATAACTGAACGACTCTTATTTGATCTTTTAATGGAAACACGACATAAACGTCGATTGGTACTACTTAGACACTTGTTGAAGTTGATCGATATTTTAAAGGCATCTTTCGCATTATTTACTCAACAATTCATAAAAGTCACTTCAAGTATTCTCCTTGGTCCACGAAAGTCAACTCATGTAAGTTTTTATAATGTTCGGTTATTAAATTCATCTTGCAATATTTCATCAAGTCATATTGTCCGGAATTATTTATATTATACACTTGTATTAAATCTTTATAATTAATCCGTTGGTTATTTTGATTTCTTTTTAGATACAAGATCGTATTGTTAATAACTTTGCTGGTAACAGTATCGAAAATCTCGCATTGTTGTACTTCTGTAATTATGCTAGTCTCAACCATCATCAAGAAGATAAAAGGCGATGAGATTAGTAGATTTTTATTGGATTAATTTGGCTCACTTCACTTCGGCAAATTAGCGGTGGAAATTTTAGTAAAGCAAAAAATCAATAGTTGAATCATAATAATATAAATTTGTTCGTTTAGTGAATTCTCTTATGTTTACACCTACAGTTAACGATGTCAGAATTAATCACCTACTAGGTAGAGAGAGAGTGTGCATTAACGAGTAGTTTTAAACTAAAGAAAAACTGCAACCAAGTGCTTCCTATTTTTCGATACTTTTAGTCTGTTCAAAACTAGGTTTAAATTAGTATTACTTTGATATAAGATAGTGATTTTTGATACTTATTTATTCATTAGAAAATGAATATGCTTTTATTTATCTTTTCTTATTTATCTAGAGTAGTGTCTCAGTCACTACTAAGGAGTCAAACGAATGTAACACCGTGTATGTGCTTGTGTTACAATGCGTCAAAGAATTTGTGAAATCATGTTGGCCACTGGTTTGTCCTACATTATTATCAGATATTATTCCTCCGTTGATCGCATTTATTGATCTTTTATCTTGGGATGGTAAAGTTGACGTGGAACAGGAAAATGAGACATGTTCTCTTTTGAAAAGCATATTTGAATCTTTTGTAATTTTGGAACCGTGTCTTTTAAATGACGTACTACAGCCTTTATGTGATACAGTTCCTCATCTGAAGTTGTATCTTCCTTCTTAAATAAATATTTTTTTTATAGTTTGCGTGCATATGTATATACCTATTTATTGTAGCGAAATTGTATATATTGTATTCTGTTTATTTATTCAAATATAAAAGCTGGGTACAGTTGAACACTAAGAAATTCCATTCACAAAAATGAATGACTAACGTTCTTAGATTTTTGCTCTTGGTACTACAACGAGTTAGAAGTAGTAACTTAGTGTTTAAGGGACTCTACCTATTGGCTAAGATCCAAGTACTTTAAGTATGAAGGTAAACGAGATTGTTTGAAAATAACGCTCATTTTTATCAGTTCATATCGAAAGTTCCATGTATGATGTGCACGTATATTCTTTGTTTTACCTGTTACTTTCTGTCATAGGCGTTACTCGTTGTCTCAAAAGACATCGTACTTTGTTACGCATGCACGTAAACACGTCAATTTGATATGCTTGAACTATTACGAGTCTATCTTAGTCGGGAAACGAGATCGAGGATCCGGCGACACGACATTCTACTCTAATCCGAGTGTCCTTATCCCCATTGAGTAGAAGAAGAAGACTTAATATGAAGTAGGACCTGTATTCTACCAACATCCAGAAAGTACGAGGTCGGAGTCCAGAAGGGAATCAGGATCCCGGACTAAGGATCCGGTCTGGGTCATAAAACGTTACAGATGATGCATATTTATACATTTAAGTCCAATAGGAAACAGCATCAAAGTCTGTGACACTGACAGTTAAAGTGACCAATAGGAAAAAACATTGATAGTCAGGATGACCAGTAAGAAACAAGATTGAAGTACGTGACATTGATAGCTAGGACGATCATAATATTGACCAAAAGGAATGGACCAATAGAGTTTACACTTAATGATTCTTCGTAGGATATTTGGTGAATATCCTAACAACGTGAAAGATGAGACGAAAAAGAGTCACCTCTATAAATAAATCTGTTAGAAAATTGTATAGAAGTATTGTAAGTGAATAGCACTGATGGACACCAGATCAGTTTTCCATAAGCTCTAATCTGACCAACAGTATTTTAAGCGAAGAGCCTTCAATATATCATTGTATATTTATATTTGTTGTCGCTATTTATGTCTGGAATGTCTACTATGTTCAGCGTTTCAGTTTGGTATTGAAATGCAATCATCATACACACGAACCCAACAGCCTACCCCAGTGAAATGAGTAAGAAGAAATTTTCTATGCGTATCCCTTAGAAACGCAACCAACTTCTTGAGCAGTCACGTGCACTTGTTGTTTGACTTATTTCTGATTAGGTCTAGGTATCAATTTTTACTACATAAACCCAATCAGTTTATTATTTAGAGGTGTTGGGGGTAAGGGACCAAGTGTCGATAGCTCGTGCACTAGTTTATTAGCCATATCCCGACCGAAGCTGCTACCTTGACGTGGTGGTTGGGCTTGTCTATCGTGATGAACCAACCGAGCTATACTGGCTGGGACTTATGTTGCTGAAGGTTCTACCATGCCAGGCAGGTCGATTGGAGAGGGGTGAGACTATAGCAGCTACTCAAGATCTGAGGGCGAAGTCGTACTGCTGACTGCAGAGGGGTGTGACAGCAGTAAGGTGTTTCCCTCGGACAACCAGCATCTGCAGCGATGCTTCCTTCTCACAAGGAAGGAAGGGTTAGAAAAGGTCGACCCTAAAAATGTCACACCTTACCCCACCTCACGGATTTCCGTCTCCTTGGGTAAGGGTGCCCACTAAGGGCTTTCAAGGGCGGAGCTAATACTCAAAAAACCTTTCATAAAAAGGCCGTGCGTGACTGGCCTCAAGCAGTTGTCCCTTGGTCTCTGTGGTCACGCTCCCAGGTTTCCAAGACCAACACTAATCCACCTTTCTTTTCAGGTCCCTCAAGAAACAACTTTCCACGGTGTGGTCAGCCCGGAAGTGACAACCGCCCTCATACCCGTGACAGCACGAGAGACCAAATTGGTCGAATTCAAATCCTTCCTACACCCACATATAACTCTCTTCTCTCCACAACTAACTCTACTCACATTCCCTTATCTGACTGCACAGCAAATGCAAACGATAGGAGTTCACGAAACGTCATTTCTGGTCTCCTGAAACCCGTTCTAGACTACATGTTGGAGAATTTAATGTACGGACATTGTGTCAAATAGGGCAACAGGCCTCCTTAGGTAGGACACTAGAATCTCGCGCCATCTATGTATGCCGCGTCTCGGAAACGCATAGAGGATCCGAGTAGCATCATTCACTTGACCTCACCATTTCAAGATAAAGAAGCAACTCGATTCACCCTTCGTGTATCCAGTAGCCCTGATGCTACTTCCAGGGGTCTCACTGGTAGTCGCTTGTGCGCTGTCCGACTGAACGGGACAGTCAGGACTGGAAAGGACAGGTACACTCGCCGTTGCCTCATCGTCGTATCTGCCTATGACCCCACTGACTGCAGTTCAGACGAGGTGAAAGATGAGTTGCTAGGCGCTCTGATAAGGTAATAATGGCTGGTGACTTTAATGCTCAAGTAGGTAGGCTGAGTGAAAAGGGAAGACACCTGGGTGGATGTTATGGTGTCGCGGCTCAGAGAACAGACTATAGCGACCGTCTGTTACAAGTATGCTCAGATAACCGCCTGTTTCTAGCGAATACTAACTTTAGGCATAAGGAAAAACATCTGTTGACCTGGCGACCCCCGAAGTTGTCTCAACGTTGGACCCAGCTAGATCACATTGTCATCAGGCACCAATGAAGGGGTTCGATAGAGGACTGTCGCTCGTTCTGTAGTATATGTTTAGATTTAGATGATGCCCTAGTGTGAGCGCATATTTGTTTGCGTCTTACTGGACGTAGGAAAGACACCGTAAAGAAGTCTCTTAGTATTTTACCTAATGATAATCAAGCTAAGAAAATATTTCAGGAGGAACAGTTAGGCGACCATGCAAGTGATTCCCATCCGGAAGCAGTTCGGAATGATATCAAAAAGTCTGTGGAAACAGCAGTGATATCTTCTAGAGAGGTAAACCATAAGGCTAGAATGAAGCCGTGGATCTCTGTAGCATCCACTGATCTGATGGATGCCCGAAAACTCATCTCACCTGGCTCTGAACATGATGAAGAACATAGTCAGCTTAAGCGCAGGCTAATAAAAAGCCTATGCAACGACCGTGAACAGTGGTTGGTAGCGAAAGCAAAAGCGATGGAAAAGGCAGCGGCGATAGGCAACAGTAGGCAACTTTTCCGACTTATCAAGGAAACTGGTATTGGGAATCCTAGTGTAAGTGAGACTATCTCGGAAAAGGATGGTCTTATTATACATCCTCAATCCAGGAGGCTGGACCGATGGGCAGAACACTTCAGGGATCAGTCCAACTGGCCTCGAGCCACTCTTCGGTTACCGAAGATCCCCAGTCATTCTGAATGGCAAACCTCCTAGTCTACATGAAGTTGAGAAAGCGTTAGGAAGTCTGAAGCGAGGGCGAGCTGCAGGTCCTGATAGACTGACCCCTGAGAAATTTAAGGATGGTGGTGCAGTTTTAGCAGCTACGTTGACTGAGATCTTAGGTAGAATCTGGGAACTGGACGTAATCCCATCCGACTGGTCTCAATCACTGATTGTCCCAATATATAAGAAAGGACAAAAGTCTTCTTGTGACAATCACAGGGGAATCAGTCTAACTAATATAATATCTAAAATATTGGATTCAATAATACTTCGACGCTTAACGAAAGCTCGTGAAGAGCAGACTAGAGAAAAGCAGGCTGGTTTTCGACCTGGACGCGGTTGTATAGACCACATCTTCACACTACGACAGGTCCTGGAACACAAACACACATTTAGGTGTCTGACAATAGTTGTCTCCCTGGACCTTAATGCGGCATTTGACTCAGTGTATCGTGAGGTTCTGTGGTAGTGTCTGTCATTAAAAGGTGTACCAGAGAAGTACATTAACCTTATACAAGCTCTCTACTCAAAGACTACAGTTCGAGTGAGAGCTTATGGCGAACTGTCATTAGAATTCTTTACTTCAAGTGGTGTCCGTCAGGGATGTCCACTCTCCATTCTTGTTTAATTCTATCATAGACATGCTGCTAGATATAACCTTATCCTCGTTTGAATTTTCAGGAGTAGACCTATTACCAGGAGGCTCACTTATTGACTTAGGATATGCCGATGACATGGTCCTACTTGGTGAAGACGTTGAAAAAATGCAGAGTCTTCTGACTATCCTAAGCAACAATGCAAGCATGTTCTGGATGTGGTTTTTTCCCTCGAAATGCAAAATGTTGCTTCAAGATTGGGTTGCATCGGCACCTGAACTAGTGATAGGGAGTGAAGTAGTCGAGCGTGTTGGCCGCCTCACTTATCTTGGGAGTCTCATCAGTGCTGATGGCCTGGTAACTGACGAAATCTCAGCACGGATACAGAAGGCTCGATTGACTCTTGCCAACCTGCTTCACTAATGGCGTAGGCAAGATATCCGTTTGCTGACCGAAGGACGAGTGTACTTCGCAACGGTTTGCTCCGTCGTGATATGTGTATGCGAAACATGGTTGTTAAGAGTAGGGGATATTCATAGGTTATTAGTATTCGATTATAGATGTCTTCGTAACATTGCTCGTTTATCATGGGACACCCGAGTAAGCAATGTTGTCGTTAGGAAACGGGTTCTAGGTAAGGGTGGCAGATCAGTGGATGAAGTAATGAAACTTCATCTGTTGAGGCGGTTGGGATATGTGCTACGAATGCCTAACCACCGACTGCCTTGTCGAGCTATGTTCTGAGATGTAGGAATAGGTTGAACGAAAGCTAGTGGCGGCAGAAATCCATGAAGTCACTGACAAGAGAATTGGGTTACGTTGGTAGACGTGGACTACCTAGTTGGGGTCCGCGAGACTAAAGTCACCAATGGTTAGAGACCTTGAACGACATGGCTCTGAATCGTCTGCAATGGCGCAAGTGCATGTATCGGTTGTGCTCTCTCAAATCCTAATCTTCCTGATTCGTCAGCACCTATACTTTTGTCTTTCTAACCTTATCTCCCTCAATTATACTTCTTGAATAATATCTTGAAACCCTAGTCTTCTTCATTACCATTAATACCTCTACTATGTTTGTCACTATGGGATTTGATTTGACATTT